GGGCAATTTATATGGTGCTAACACCAAAGCAGCTGGGAGGGGGGTGGGGGATGGGGGTGGAAAGGCATTGTGCCTATCAGTTGGTGGAAAAGTGCAGTTAGGCATTGCAGCATATGCTGCCTTCAAGACTGTGTGTACTGTGCAGTACCGTGTGCTCCTCTCTGTGTACTAGTGAGGAGGCAGTAGTCCTCCTCCCTTTGACAGTGGCAAGCACCGGTGGATAACTAGGAACAGTCATTGTGCTCAACTGAGCACAAAAGGGAATATGTAGCTGCAAAAGGTGGGTTAGGTTCCTTGTGCATCCCCTGACCGTAAACACCTACTCAGGAGAACCATCTGGCCCTTGATTTCCTGTAATGATGTGTTTTATATTTTAATAAAGATGGAATTATGCCTAGCTGGAGAAGCTGATGGGAAAGGGTGGGGCCAGGAGAGCTGCAAGGGGTTGAAGACCATATGGTGCAAGATACCACCGTTTGAGTGATGAGCTTTGTGGACTTGAAAGCAGAGAACAGAATCATTTTCTTTCTCGTTTATAGCAACGTGATGATCCTGTTATCCCCAGTTATACCACCAGGTTCATTCTCCATTGTATCGCTGTTGCACAGAGCCTCTTCCCACTTTAATTTCCTTAGAAAGAAAAAAGTCAATGAAAGATCATTGCTTTGCCGTATGTGCAGTCAGGGTGCTTACTCAAGGCAAAGTCTGCTCTGCAGACCAGACCAGAGTCTGGTATAATGGAGTCTTGCTTATTTGTGATTGGAGATGATTTACCATGTTGTAGACTATAGATATGTATACTCTAAAACACCCCAACCATTACATTCCCTGCTCAAACATAGTAACTCTAGGCAAACATGAGACAGACTAATGCTCCAGCAAGCAGATAAGAATCGACTGATTTCTGAGAGAATATTTCTGTTGTTACCCACAGCTCATCATTTCTAATTGCAATAAAGTTTTATGTAATATTAATGGCTACAGGCTGGGAAGTTACTGTGTTCAGAAATGTCACTAATGATATGCACAGCATGCTCTAGGAAGTATATACTCATGCATATTGCATCTTATTGAAATCCACGCTTATTTTGCACACATTTGATTTATCCAGAGATGTGAAACTATTCATCTCCTGCCTGACTCATTAACAGTGAGGAGGACACCCTTCTTCTCGTCACCGAACTTAAAAAAAAAAGTCACTTTCAAAATCGCAGCTGGCAAATAAGAGTGCCGAGCAGTCATGAATGTTAGCAATTCAAACCCCACGTTTGTTGTCTTGAGCTTTTGTTAGAAGAGAGACTGTGGTACCTATTAGGTCTCTGTGAGGCAGAGCCACACAGAGCAATGAAAGCAGGAACACCATCTAGGTAGTAATCTGTAGCCCCATTATACTCTCAGACTGCTGAGGAAGTTAGTGCTTTACTGGGGAGAAAGAACTTCAGAATGACAGGGCTGGCGTAGCCTGTACGTCTTACAAGGACCTGATCCTAATCCCTTTGAAGATTTAGAGCAGGCCTATGTACACAAAAATGGGTCACGCTGACCAGGAGTCCACCCCACCACCCTCATTCTGTGTGCTGGAGTCTCTCTGCCCGTGCTGTCTAGCCTTCCTTATTTGTGCTGGGACAACAGCCACCCAGATTTCAGAGAGCTGACATTTGTAACGTCAAGAGGATTTTTTTTAAAGGTAAGCCTGGCAGGTTTCTGGGAGCATCCTGCTCCCTGCGGTGCTTATTGCTTTCCCCCAAATAGTACTTTTAATCAAAACATCCTCCCTCTGTTTAGTTGCACAGCTTCCAACAATCACGGAGCAATCTAAGATTCAAGTTGCCTACCCCTTTGATGACGACTTTGCCATTAAATGTGAAGCTACTGGGAATCCACAACCCACGTGAGTATTTGTTTTCATTGGAGACACAAATGGAAGTTGGAGCCTGCTTTGGTACCTCTTCCCACTGTTGCCTAACAGGGTTTGCACCGGAGCAGGAAGGGGAGAGCTGAGGCATGCTAATCTGCTTGTAATCTCGGGGATACATTAAGCTTTGCCTTTCCAGTTCAGGACACTCTATCTTTGTTGCCCGATCTGTTCCACTCGCCCTGTGAATAGAGATTAACGGGCCTCTTCCTCTTTGGAAATGTTTCATTTCTCTTGTATGTGCTACGTTCACCCCATGATTTACACCAGGCTGGCTCAGCTGTGCTGCAAAAGATATGAGGTGCATAATGGTAATCAAAGGGTACCAGCTGTTCTTCTGCCTTTTGCACTGCTTAGCCTCCTATCCCATGAAAATACCAAGCACATTAAACCAAGTGCTCAATGTCCACATTTGCATTTAATCTGATGTTTTGTGTGTGCCTAGTGTCACCGTGGGTTTTCGCCAAAACCCATCATGTGTTTCGCATCAACGTAAAAGAAACAATTTTTAAATACAGATACATGACTTCAATACCGGAATATTTTCTATGAACTTCCACCAATCAAGTTGTTCATGCAACATGAATTAAATTATTTGTTAGCTGACCAGGAGCCTTCTTTGTGTTTTTGAGGTAGATATTTAACACTTAGCAAGGCACAATATGGTGTGAACTAATTTTAAGATTTGGTGTTAAAAAGATAACTTTGATTTTAACGTTACATTTACTCTTTGTAATTTTAATGTAATATATGCTGATGTCATTGTTTTTGGTTGGCTGTGACCGAAAGCTGTGGAATATGTTTTTTTTTTAAAGCCCATGTTTTTGTTTCACATTCTGTTGCTAATGAAAAGCTAAGTTTCCAAATGCTTAAAAAAGTTTGTCAAGCTTTGATGGCCTTCTGATAGCCCTGGAAACTCTTTTCTACAGGAAAATCTGCCTTTGTATTCCCTTCTGAATCAGAGTGAAAAGGCAAAGATTTCCTATGGAATGAAAATTTTTTAAAAATTAACTTCTGGACCCTCAAAATATTGTTTTGTTTCAATGCTGAAACAGTGCAACACTCTATATTAACTAGAATGCATATGATATAGCATTCGATATGTTATATAGTATAATAGAAATACTAGGTTAATATAATATTAAAGTAAAAACAAAATTAAACTAAAATAGGAATGAAATATATATATTAAAAAAATATACATGCAAAATATGAAAATTCGGTAGAAACCAACACATTACCATGAAACATTTCAATATTGATGCACCATTTTTTTGTAACAAAATACAGTTCAGGACTGTGCTTATGTTAAATCGTATTCTTTTACCATAGTGTATTACATTACGCCTTAATGAGTGTGTTGTTTTTCAGTTTTAATTGGACTAAGGATGGAAAACCATTTGATTTGCTATCTGACCCCAGGATAATCCCATTTAACAATTCAGGAACATTCATGATCCAAAACCATGGAATCATGGCTGATTTTCAAGGAAAATATCGTTGCTATGCTTCAAATGCACTTGGAACTGCCATGTCAGAAGAAATTGAATTAATAGTTCCCAGTAAGTTTTTTAGCTAAAAATATGTATTGCTTTTAATAATATGAGAGAGCATGAGTAATTCAGCTTAGCAAAATATGTGGGTCGCTTGTTATATGTTGACTAGTATACAAAGTTTTTAAGTGCTGCATGGGAATAGCTGATATCAACCTAAATGGTGAAGGGGAATAGTTGTTTGGAATGATATACGTTTTTCTAAGTATCCTCCATCTTGCTCAGGGATGCTAAGAAAACTCCATAGATTTTTCTCTGTTTAACCACAGTATCCTCAAAGCCACATAGTCTAGTAATAATAATACCTTTAACCAAGGAGGGCTCGAGAAAACTTTCTGTAATGATATATGTGTCGTACTTGGGAGTCAGTTTGACATGCACTTTCTAGCACAGCGCTCTGACATTTTAATGTGATCTCATCATGTTGTATCCGACATCACAGCCTTGCAATAGAATGAGACTGTATCAAAGTGTTATCATCTGGAGGTAATGCCCTGGTGTGATAGCTTTTCATAGGATTCAGACCTTGCGAATAGCTAATTACCCCATAAAACACATTATGATCTGGGAAAGCTGATGTGGCTGGCAGTACAGTACATACACAGTGGTGCTGTCAAGTGTCACAAGGCCCTTTTCCCCTTCAGAGTCTCACTACATTGTTTCTGCAGTATCCCTGGTTTCTGCTTTCTAGGAAATTAGTCTGCATTACTAGTGCAGAAGTTCAGACACCGCTAATGAATCATCAGCCTCTTCATAGGTTTTCTAATACAAATGCTAAAGCACACTCCCCAAACATTTTAATTAATTTAAAGGGCCTGGGTAAATTATGTACATATTTCCCTAACTACATGAATTTTGAGAACAAATATTGTTTATTGCTGCTTGCTGAATATCATCCACCATGCTCTGTCTCTAGAGGATAGACCAGCAGGCATATTAGTATAAACTTTTACATGGCATCCACAGAAGAGTTCAGTGGCAGAAAATTATTTGACTTTCACTAGACTATTTAAGTGCCTTTCTAAAGATTTGTCTTTAAATGTTTAATACAAACTTTATTTGTATTTGTTTAAAGCCTAATTTTGCTCATTCAATGCCAGTAGTCACAGTCCTTGGTTTTTCTATATAAAGGAGAAAGAAATATTGATGAGAGTCATTGTTGGTAGGTGACAAAGTCAGCAAAAGACTCTATCAAATCTGGCCAAGTACGTGGGAGAGGTCAGCGAGAAACAAGTGAAAGCACTTAGTGCACACTGCCTGGGCAACAAAAAGTGGTAATAAGAGTTATTGGTGCAGCACCTGAAACTGGGTATTATGGGAATAGCTAAACATAAGGGAATAGCAATTGTTACTGTACTACAGCTATCACAAGCAAGGTGATGTTTAAGAAAGATATAAATAAGGGTAGAAATGGTGGTTTGTTGTTATACTTTAATGATAGGAGAGTCTGAACAGAAACGATGGTATGATAACACAGAATTGGTTTGGGTCTCTTGAGGGAAGGATCGTAAAAGAGGTTCTGCTACAGAATCCCTGAATTGGATTTGGCTATGATAGAAAGCTCTCTAATATCAGAGCGAAGAGAGATAGAGTGATGCTGCCAGCAATTATTGGATCATTTAACTTCCCAGATATTGACCGAAGAATGAGTGCTACAATAGTGGTAGGAACCAGATATTTCTGGATGTGAGAACAAATAGATTTCTTCACCAAACAACAGGTGATGGACCTTTGATGGACTTCTTTTTTCCTCCTAAATAACAAGGGCCTGATAGAGTGGTTAGACAAAATTGCATTGGATTGAGTGGTCACAAGTTGCTTCTATTTAAATTTAAATGGAAGAATAAACAGGAATAAGCCTGTAAGTAAGGTTTTCCATTTCAAAGGGTCAGACATTGAGAAATCAAAAACAGCTGTATAGTGAATTCAATTGGACTGAAGAGCTCGAGTACTAAAATAGGGAGAAGACTTTCAATTTCTCTAAATCAAAGGTACAGCAATTGTGAGGAAATTGTATCCTAACAAAAGAGGAAAAACTCAAAACAGGGCCCCCAAATGTAGCTGGGTGCATAATCACTTTTAAAAGTATATTAAGGCTAAGCAGAGAGCCTGCAAAGAATGGGGGGAAAAAAGGCCTGACCACTTTGTAGTAATAAAGTGAAAATTACCAAAAGTCAAACTGAGCTATACTTTGCAAATCATACAAGGTTTCTTACCACAATAAAAAAAAAAAAGAGAACATGGAGGGCAAAAGTGGGGGCAGTATACAGTAAGAATGGGATCAAACTGGGAGGGGATGATAACAAATGTTCCCCAGGGTTTTGTCCGGCGCCTGCTATGGCTATATATGTTCATGAATGAGTTGAAAGATGGAATTGCGTCCATACATTTTGCATTTGAGTCTATGCTTGCTACAATTTACCCAAAACGGGTAGCAGACATTTTTTTGGAGGGCAAGAAAAGTATTGGGATGACCTTGATGAGTTTGGGAAAAATGTCTGATGTGAATAGGATGACATTTAGTACTAGATAAAAAAGCGAACAAGAAGGTGCTTAAATACAAAAGAGAGAATTACTGGCTTATCTGCAGAACTGTGGAAAAGGAAAATTTGGAGGATCTCATGGATCACATGCTGGAAATTCGAATAACCTTCTGGGATGTAATGACAGCAATGTCTTATGCAACTCACGGGAAAGGCTTCTGCCATGCTATTCAGGATTAATGAGAGTTCACCTGGCTCCAGCTTCAGACCCTGCATTTTAAGAGCAGCATGGATGCATTGGAAGAGTCCAGAGGAGAGCAATAAGAGTGCTTAGCTGCCTAGACAACGTGATGTGTGATGAGAGGTTGGAAGAGTTGGGATTTTTGAGTCCAGAGAAAGAAGACTACAGGATGATTTGATAATAGTCTTCAAAAACAATGATGGTTGATATAAAGAAGGTAGCGATGAACGGTTCTCTTGTGTTCATAGGTACAGGATGAGAAATAATGGTCTTATATTGCAAAAAGGTTGATTTAGGTTAAAAGGTTTCCCACTTTGAGGGCAGTTAAGCACAGGAACAGATTACCTACGTTGTAAAATCTTATCATTGAAAGATTTTAAGCGAAGAGTAAACAAACCCTTCTCTAGGACACTTTAGACAGAGGTGATCCTGCCATGATCAGAGGGATGGACTGAAGAGATTCCTAAAGTCCTTTCCAGCTCTACATCTGCCAAGTTTCAGTAGTGCTACAAAACATTTTGATGTTTAAGTTGATCTGAACTAAATGTGTATGATGTGAGTTAAAATTATCTAGCTACCAGTAGGTGGGACACACCAGCTGTCTGGAGTCACCTAGAGTTTTAAACAGGATGAGATGAAAAACAGTCAGTCAAAGCTTTAGGCAAAACCTAATTATTTACTGTGGAGTCTGGCCAGGGCATGGGGATTTATACTCTAATGCAAAGTGCCTTTGGCCTTTTAATTTCCTAAGGAGTTCAGGACCACAGTTTTGTGTCTCAGGTAAAGAATAACACGTCCAACAAGTCTTCTGATACTACAGTGACCCATTGCTTTTACTTTCAAAAGAGACTCTTAAATATACAAAAATCAGAACACTTTGCTTAGCTGATGCTTTCCTTGGAGTTTTGAGCTTATAAATGAGACCGGAGATGTTATTTGACAGATCATGTAGCTCTCGTTATATGCGCTGGTCAGGATTTCCATCATTGCAATAAAGGTGTGAGGGTGTGTACACCAGAGGTGAACTTCCATTTTCTTTATTGCGCTGAACTTCATGGACTATGGGGGAGGGAGTACTGAAACTGTGATTCAAGTCCTGGAGCATTGTACAGTATTCTGCAGAGCTGCTTCTGTTGAAACTGCAAGATTTCTAGTTGATCATCTCCCTGCTAGCTGGACTGGATGCTAGAAGGGTTTTTAACAAATGTAGTCTAATAAACAAAGCATCTCTTTCCATCTACACAGCTTTCAGTTCAACATAGTTAAAAATTGGGGGTTGTTATGGAGGAGAAAAGGAGGAGCCAGTGAAAAGTTGAGAGTATTTTTGAGTACCTTTTTTCTTTTCTTTTTGCCTTGGAATTGCAGAGTGATCCAATAGCTTCAGTTGCTACCTTCAAGTGAAGGAGGCTGCAAATGTTGAACTGTCAGTCTAGGAAGTGGTAATCAACCCACTGAGGGAGCTCACATAATGGGATTGAAGGGATGACTCTGACTCTGGGGAAGCATCTATTTGTGCATGTCTTTGTCAAGTATCTGGTCGGTTGAGGTAAGACCATAATCATAATTTTCAGGTGAATGTCAAGCTTGAAAGGATACTAGACAGGTGGCAGGGTAGACCTAAGTAGCAAATTCACTTGGAGAGAGCAGAATTATGGGTTCAGCAAGCTGAGCAAGAAGATCTGGTGCTAATTTATGTGACAAGACCTCACAAAAAGAGGAAATAAGCTGCACAGATACTGTATGTGGGAGACTTACTTAAATCTCATGCTTATCCACTGCATATGTGGAATATTATAAATTTCTTAAATTCTTCTTGGACTCGAGTAAATATGGTATTAAGCCAACTTCATCTTCATTTAATCTCATTTGTATATTTCTGCTACTATTTTTCCATCTACCTGTGCATCATATGTTGTATAATAGCTTAGGATTAATGAACAGAAGTAGATTCAGTTCTTCTGAGGTAGTGACAACAACCCATAAGTCCTGTACAAGTCAGAGTTGCTTGTACATAAAACCTTTGTAAATTAATCTTGAATTTTTCACTGCTACAGAAGAGACCGCGCTGAACGAACTCTACACAGCAGTAGACACTAGAACAGGGACTGGCACATGAGAGATCTCTGCATGCATTCATGATAATGATGTGGAGGTTGGCAGGACTCTGACAGCTGTGCTCAGGTTTAATGCAAGCACCTTGGCAAGCCACCACTCCAATAAAAGTTAAAAAAAAATTTAAAAGAGCAACAAGTCACACTGGGTATTTTTCAGCATAAATTATGTTAACTCTGTTCTTATGCACTTCTAGTTAGAGTATAATAATAGAGGGTTTATAAGGAGAGCAAGGCTGCTGCAGACAAAGGGAACAAGATTACAAATTACAATGGGCCATTTACAACTTCACTGCGTGGTGGGGAGGGAGAGGGAGCAGCAAGAAATTGGAGAACCAGGGCACCCCTTGGAATAACCAGGAACAGCAGCCACACACTGACAGACAGCAGATTTAAGTTGGACATCAGGAAGAACTTCTTTATCTGAATCTGGAATGGGCTTCCAACGGAGGTGGTGCCCTCCCCTACCTTGGGGGTCTTTAAAAAGAGATGGGACAAGCACCTGGCTGGGTTCATATGACCCCAGTGCTCTTTCCTGCCCAGGGCGGGGGGTCAAACTCGATGATCTATTGAGATCCCTTCCGACCCTAACAACTATGAAATGGTGAAGATATTGCTTACATACCAGTAATTCCAAGAAATCAGTGGAAATGTCAGGAGAAAAGGTCCTTACTTTCCACATAAGTAATGACAATACCATGCATTCTGCTGATAAGAAAAATGAAAACAGGAACTTAATGCATCTTAACCTAAGCAGCTGTGATGGTCAACTGTAAGTTAACTATTCTGAGTTAACCATCTTGTCAGATAACATCTCTAAACAAAGTAAGAAGAAAATCCTGACATGCAGATTTATTATATTGCCTGTGCAATAGAAACTAATCAGTAAGCAAGAATACAGATCTAAACCACTGTGATAGTGAGCTTATGGAGTCTATTCCTTTTAATGACTAAAATTAGCTAGTGCCAGAAAATTCCTATAGCCTCATAATTTAAATATTTTATTTAATTAATCATGAGGCAGCATAGCTTCCTTGTTGACCTAACACAAGATGTGTGGTCAGTATATTTAAGAAGTCTTGTCTAATACACTTAAAAGCATAGGGACATAAATTGACTGAGGAATTTTAGGGAGGCAGCTGGCATAGCTCAGGGGGTACAAAAATGTGCATGCTATTGTCTGTAGTGAAAAGATTTTAAAGATCTGTGGAGTTGATGAAAAACAAGGTATAATTAAATCGCTCTAAAAATCTTGATGAAAACATCGTCCCCATTTTACAGATGGGGAAAAAGGGGAAGTTAAGTGATGACTAGGTTCATACCAGGTTACACAGAATACTTCTTCTCCAAGGTTTTTTGACTCCTAATAAATCCATAGTTACCACTCTAACCACCTCTCAATGATTTATGGGGGTTAACACCCCTTGCCTTGGGAAAGGGTAGTGGATAGAAACTTCCCCAGAGTCAAAGAGAGTCATCTCATCAGTCCCACTATATGAGCTCCCTCAGTGGCTTGATTACCACTTTTGAGACTGACAGTTCAACATTTGCAGCCTCCTTCCATTGAATGTAGCAACTGAAGATATTCCACAAATAAGCAGCATCGCCCCACTGGTCTGTCAAAGGCCGTAATGAGATTTCCAAATATAACTGCATGCTGCACGGGCCAGTACAGAAACCAGCATGCTGTCATGGATCTTGGGCTGTGTCCAGTTGGTTCTTAGGTGGGAAGAGGCCGTAAGTCACTTTTGTAATTCTTTGATATGCTAGCCAAATGGACTGATTGCTGGCATTAAGTAGAGCAAACTTAGGGCTGCAGATGGCCAGGGAAGTGCTGGGGATTGCCGTGGAATACAGTTCTCCTGGTCTGTCATCTTTGGGATATGTTAGTTGTATATCACAGGAGGATTTGTCTACACACAAGGAATCGTTTACTGGCCGGTAAAGTTTGCTCCTGTTTTGCACCAGCTTACTGATATAAACCAGTTACAGTGCATCAGAGATTCTCCCCAGTTATATGTTACTACAAAATCCTCTCTTCCTTCTAAATTACAGCTTCCCACACTGGCTTCAAACACAAAACCGGCTTCAAGGGACCCTTATGATTCTTTTTTCTCCTTAAGTGGTATAAACCTACGAAGTCAATTAAGCTATACTGTGTAAAACTACTGTACTCTCTTCATGGTAGAACAGAGTATAAACAGTGTGGGCTATGGATTTTCTGACAAACTAGTATGTTGGCTTAAAAAAATGGGAGGAAAGATCCCAAAAACCCTTTCCCCTTCACCATGTCCCTTTATCAGAGCACTTGAAAACATTCTGCTTTGCTCTTAAGTGTCTCCAGAAGTGTTTGGTCATTAAGCTGAGTTATCCTAATGATTGAACAGACGTGGCGTGCTCAGTGCGTGATGCCAGAAATCTTTCATTTCCTTTGTCACCGTTGTTCAAAAGAAGAGAATTTGGGAAGAGGCCAGTGGAGTGTCTGCAGCATCCCCGAATTTAACAATTGCATGATATTAGAAAATTCGAGATATTCCTTTGGCAGGAGCTAATCCTTGGCATATGGACTCTTTCCTCAGACAGCTCTGAGATGTGTGTGTCACAGTGAGCTTTTGGAAAATGTATCCGTAACAGGCTGCATCTGACAGTGTTTCACCTCTCACCGGGGCTATTTGCTAGATGTCACTGGATTTGCATGTCCCACAAGAGGGTTCTCCTGCTGGCATTTCAGCAGGTCACTCTCAGGGTCACTCAATAAGCTTTTTCTTTCCCCCGTGTCCTGAAAATGCGAGATGACATACAACTATGCAAGGCTCTCTGGTCCTCCTCATTTAAGCCGGTATGTGGGGGAATGCATAAAGGATTGACATGACAGAGGTGCTGCAAAGGGATCAATTGATTTCAAATTTCACGCTGTCCATGTGCTGCATTGATAATTCCATGCAATATTCAAAACTTCCATCAAGCAGTACCTTTTGGGTAGCGCTGAATACCAATTTCCGGCTTAACTTAATTATTATAGTTCCTGTGATCAGTCATAAATTAGTAGTGATTGATTCCAGAAGATTGAAGGAGTAAAATGGATGAGTACTGCAAACAAATATTGCACAAGGATACACACAAGTGGCAGATAAAGGGGAGCAGTGTCTAAGACTAATAATAGCTTCTCCTGCACAAAGTGGAGGACAATTTCTCCGCAGGCTGGTGAAACAGATTGGGCCTCAGCAAGAGCATCACTGGGAAGCTGGCCTAAATTTCAACCTGATATGCTTGCCTGGGAGCTTGGCTCACGTACTGGAATGGTCACTGGACCTGGACAGCAAACTGTTTTCCCATCCTGCAAAAATGTCCGTATTCTCCATTAAGAGGAAACCGTGGCCTTTAACTCACAAACAGACTGAGGAGGAGAGCTGCAACATGCCAGGTAGCCTGGTGATAGAAACCTCATCAAGCATTCAGGGGATACAACGCCTGCTCTGCCTGATTATGGACCAGGGACTGGAGCCTGGGTCTCCTACGTCCCAGGAGAGCACCTTACAGTACCTTGGCCCCTGGCTATCCTGGTTCATGCCTCTCTTAATCTCACCTCTTGGAGTTTTCTCTCTCTTTTTTTTTTAAAGCTCTGATTAGAAATGCCTATTCTGGGCCCAAGAAGCTGCTCCGGAGGAACATTTTATTGTGTCTGGTTTCTTTCCATGAAAAGTTGCAGTCCTGACAAAAATCAGCATTATTCCTTTTTATGTTGTTCTGCTAGCCTCAGCCATGGTCACAAGCTGACCCTTTATATACAAATGCAAGGGTCTTAATGATAACCGAGCCATGTGCTATTGGCTTGTCTTGGGCATATCTCTTATTGCACTGAAGACTTGAGTGTGACAATGCTGATTTATTGTAGCTGAGGATCTTACCCAATATCTGGTCTGCAGTCACACCCTTGCTTTGATATTGAACATTGTTTCAGCAGAACTCCACTGGTATTCACTCGACTAGCGTTGCATACAAGTCATTAATCTTTACTGACTCACTTTGGTTCTTCATAGCCGTGCCTCTCTCATTCTTTTACCCTGGCATAATTATATATTGAACTGTCATAACTGAAACTTGTACCGGTTTGGACTTGCTTGGAATATAAGTAGGAGGTAGTTCCTGGGTTTGTTTGAAGAGGGGTTGCACTTCACAGATGCGTTTGCATGTAGCAATGCCTAACTTCTGGCTTTTCTTTGTTCCTTTGGGTGTGTTTCCAGCTCCTGTTACTCATGGACATAATCCCAGCGTGTGCTTGTATGAGATTACAAGCAACAGCCTATAATTTGTTTGCCAGTGAAACCCTGTTTGAAGATAGGCTGATGGCTTTTCCTGCCCTTTTCAGATCCTGTTGATATCAGTGAGAGTTTTCCCATTGACATCACTGGCTGTTCATTGGAGCACATCTTAAATCATAATACAGTACCTGGTCCCTGAAGGCCAAATCCTGCAGTCTTTGTGCAGATGCATCAGATTATTTAGGCCTGAAAACTGAGTGTAGACTCAAGCTCCTGGAAAACATAGACTCACTAGAACCAATCTGCAGGAAAACTTGCACATCTGAGGTGAAGGGGTAGGGACATATCTCCATTTCACCTAAAGCTGGGGAATAAAACCAGCCCCTGGCACAAGTTATAGCCTGGTTTATTTTGCAATTATGCCAGGTCACATTACACTCCAGTCCTATCCTTTGTGGTCTTCAGCCAGCATTGGTGAGGGGCAGGGGTGAGTATGCTGAAATGAGCCAGTATAGTAAAAAAATCTATTCTGAATTTTTTTTTTTTGTGCCAGACTTCCCTGACAGGCAGGATTACAGCTCAGTATATCCAAGGTGGTAACCTGAGTTTTCTTTTTGAAGCTGTATTAATAATCAGAAAATAGAAAACCGTTTAAAAGGTCTAAAGATTTAAAATGTTTAAAACCTTTCATGAATACATGTTATTAAGAGCAATTAATGCACAGACCACAAGGAACAGTATAGTGCAAAGGTGCTATTAGGACAAATGGTGGACAAGGGGACATCGTTGCAAGAGGTAAGAAAATGACGGATACTATTTGTTCTGCTACAGGTATACCAAAATTCCCCAAGGAGAAAATTGAGCCACTTGATGTCGAGTGTGGTGATTCTGTGGTTTTGCACTGTAATCCCCCCAAAGGAATTCCACCCTTGCATATCTATTGGATGAATATTGGTAAGTAAGATTTAATTATACACAATACATGTGACCATTTTCTAAAATGCCTGCCTTAAAGATCAGTTTCATTAAAAATCCACAAAGGCTGGAAAAAATAGAAGAAGCATAAAGCGCAGACACAAGTGACAATTTTTGCCCAATCAACCCCCCTGCAGCTGTGACCAAACAGATACACACGGCTGCAAAGCACTTTAAAAGGGCCTGGTCACACAGAAATCTTAACCCTCAGGTGAAGATGCTTCAAAACAGTGTTTTCTGTACTGTAACTTGTGTCTGCACTGCCTCCCAGCCGCTTTCAGAAAGGGAGGGGGAAAGGGAGCGGAGGGAGTTTGGTTTGGGGGGCTCCAAGTCACTCATCCCGCCCTCCAGTACTAGAATGAGCTCCCTTTCCCCCTCCCATTCTGAAAACAGCACCTAGTGGGAGGTAGGAGGGGCCATTGCTAGGGAAAATCGGCTGCTAGATATGCTTCCCACTGGAACCAGCAATGAACTTCTGTTTGGTCCGGGGGATCGTTGCAATTCAGAACACATCCTGCAAGGCGTTTTAAGTTACAGAGGAGAGCTGTACTTCTGTCTGCGCCCATAAGCATGCAGAAAATCAGTGACATACCGTGGGGCTCCAGTGCCGGGGAGACAATGCTTGCACTTGCTCCCACCCCCTGTCCTTGTAGTTATACATAAAGTCATGTCACAAGATAAGAGCTCTAAAGGCCCTGGCTGGCACTCCCCTCAAGCCCAGGGGCCGTGACTTCCCCTCCTCCCCATTGGTCTGCCACTGGATTTGGCTGTCATTGCTGATAGCTCAAAGAAAACTTCTTGGTGCACCACAGGAAACTAAAACTGAAGGAAAACAGTGGAGCATGAAATCTAGACTCTACTGAAGCCAGAGGCAAAATTTCTACAAGTGATTAATGAATGAAATAAAAGCAAAAACTGAAATATTATGATGTGATTCTTTAATTTGTGGCATGGCTTCAACTGGAATCTAGTGTTTCAGTTTTGGCCTTCCTGTCTTAGAAGATAGATGAAGTTCAGAGATAGGTGATAATAAGAGCTAGAAACATGGGGAACTACTTGTAACACCAGACAACAAAGATAAAGAGGTGCTGCTCTTCATCCTTTCTACAATGCAGACAATAAAATTGAAGGCCAAACAAATTTTAAAATTGATTTAAGATACATTTATTTTTACATAAAGTATAAAGTCTGAGAGCTCAAAAGGATTTTAAAGAGGATAATAAAAATACTGCAGCCACAGTAAAGAGGATGTCAGTGATACAAACCTTCTTACATCAGGATAAGGCAGTTAACAAAATTAGGAAGAGCTTTCCATTTTTGTTGGGTTATTGGTTTTTTTAAGGATATGGTTACCATCCTGTGTGAGTATCTAAGGAAAAATTGTCATCCATGGAAGTCAATGAAAAACTCCTGTTAATGTCAATGGGGCAAAGGTCCCAGACTGATCTGATCTTTTATAGTAATTGCCATACTCCGGACATAAAAAATGAATACTCTCTTACCGTTGTCTCTTTTAACAATAAACCAACACAACCACTACATTATGTACTGGTTCTTTTATATTATGTGTCATTAAAAAGAATCATAGGTTTGATTTTTTTTCCCCTCACCAAGAACCTACAAATCGTCTCATCAGTGGCACTGTTGCAGGCCGATGTTACAAGGAATTTTTACTGCATTATACCCTAACGATCCCATCATTAAGATACAGGAAGCAAACTGTACAGTGAATCCTGCTTTTCTGCACCATGTTTACATGAGTTCTTTCTCCAGATCAAACAAGCAGCCCTGGGTAATGTGGCCCTATTATGTGGCTAAAGGCTACAGCAATTTAGCTCAGCCAGGAACTTTGTGCTCACTAGTTGTGCCGGCCATTCTGCTTCTTCTGGAAGTATAAATCCTCCTATTGGGGGCATGGCTGTGTATCATGACCATATCACAATTATTTTTTCTTCCTAGATTTGCAACACATTCCACAAGATGCAAGGGTTTCCATGAGCCTTAAGGGGGATCTCTACTTTGCAAACGTAGAAGAAAATGACAGTCGAAGCGATTATTGTTGCTTTGCAGCATTTCCAAGACTGAGGACGATCGTCCAGAAAATGCCAATGACGCTGCGGGTAACACGTTGTAAGTCTGTGGGGTGGGATGGGATCCCCCCCCGCATTTAACTCCCCAGTTGTCACTAAAGGCAGATGCATGCCATGTGTCTCTAATCTGATTCTCTCTGAAGAAAATGCATGTTAATATGTTTGTTCCTGCATTATTAACCTTACTCTAAGGGGTATGTCCAACTGATAAAAGCTTCTGCAGCTGTAGGGTTTCAAAAGCGTTGCCGTCCTCCCTCATGTTCTTCATCACTATGAAAGCTAATCACGATGCATCAGGGAAATCAACTCCTTTCACAAGTGCATCATTAGGCATTTCATACCGCCTCCTCCCCCTTGGGCCCAAGCACTGGCTTTGCCTGGATATGACAATCAGGGTTTGGAGAACGGCATTAGGGAGCTCCGGTTAGTGTGATTGGAGTACATCCCAAGCGTCCCATTAGAGAGAGAGGCTCTTGCTTGGCTGACCGGATGTCAGAAAACTTGAAAGGAGTTACAGCCTGTAGTTCTTGGTTTGTACCTGAAAAAGCCTACCCCTGAGCTCAGCCATGGAGAGCCGTTTGCCTCCACTTTTGAGTAACTCTTCAAGGAAAAGAAGCAACGAATCGGATGCCTGAGCTTCTGAGCTTATGAAATGACTTGCCATACTTGAATCTCAGTCAGGCACATCAACATTAAGGTTTTGTTACTTGTAGCAGTATTTCATGTTGTCCGTGCTGGCTGTGTCACATTCTTCTGACTTTTTGGGCCTGCTTTATCCATACAAGTAAAGGATATTTTCTTCCTAACTTTAAAGCATTAATATTTAAGGCTTAGTAGGGGGCAGAAGAGGGGGGCTGTTTTGACAAAAGTATATATGAATCCAGCATCAATTCTTCATCTTAATGCTTTGTTTAAACTTCTTTTATTTTTTAGTGTATTAATTACGAGGAAAGAAATATCGGAATTAGATACCGATCTCCATGAATTTCTCAGTGTGTCCAGTCACAAAGCTCAGATTAGAGCGTTAGTGTAAGGTTTGATCATATATACAGTTCTGAATACCCAAGCTAGCGAGGTCTTTAAGCCTGCATACACTCTGCTTGAAACCAGTAGACCTATGCATGTTCTTAAAGTGAAGCTCCTGTTTAAGTACTTTGCTGAATCAAGAGCAGACTGCTCGACTCTGTGCAGCAACAAGGCCTTTAACAAGCTGCTGCATCGAAAAGAAGAAGAAAGGTAGATAGCCAGCAAAAAAAGGGGACAGCATTTTAATGGGACAGCGTTTTAATGGCGGCCTCTGGTCAGTTAACTCTGCTTGAATTGCTGTTTAAGGAACATTTTCCCAAATATTGTATCTTTTAAATGTTTCATTATATGTACAGAAATTCTCATTCTCATTTGCATTCTGTTATTTTGGCTGTTTTATGTAAGCTGTCTTTGACACGTCTTTTAAGAAAGAACTGTATCCATTTTTTCCTGATTGTTTTGTTTGTTTTGTTGCTTCTTTTTGACACCGTATAAACACTTACGTTGGCATTTGGTTTTCATTTTTGTTTATTTCAGTTAAGCACACTAATGACTCAGGCTCCCCTAATGCTGCTGTTACTAAGGGTGAGTTGAATGTCCTTGTTTGTTAGTTAGTTTTTGAATTGCAACGAGACTATTCGAGATGGGTAATCTGCATCTTCATTAAAATGAAATATCCCACTAGCTGAGATGAAATACTGGCTACTGCTCAGAGAAAACTTTAGATGGTTATCCCAGACATAAGCAATATATAGAACAGTACATATTCAGGCTTTTGCCGCTTTTGACTGAGGTGTGAAGTCTTTCCTTATCACTACAACATCTATTATCCTGTGTAATAGAAGAAAGACAAGTGGCCCGGACTGATACAAATTATTTTTCCAAACTGGCAGTTTTCCTGATCAAAGAAGTGATTTCAAAAGTAGTTGAAAGCTACAGAGCCATGAAGAAGCTTTGCTGACTGGCCAATGTTGGAATATTCTGCTGATGTTTAATGCACGAGGGCTGTAGTGCATAACTAAAACAAATATCCTGTTTCTCACCAGTCTTTAATCATCCCTAAATACTGTTAGCATGGGAAATATTTAAAAATTATGGCCAAGTTTTCCAAAAGTAACTATTAAGTTTGACTGCCTCAGATTTTTGGAATATCCAGCTTGAAATCCTGATTTTTCAGAGAGTAAGTATTCAACAGCATTTGAACATTGGATGGCTTTCACATGCCTTGAGATGGACATCCGAAGTGACCAATCACTTCTAAAAATTGTGGCCTTGGAAGCTTGCATTTGCACATGCGCTCGGTGGTAGATAGAAATATAAAGAAATAGACATTTTAAAGGAATGGGAGAAAAAATGAAGAAAAATGGTTTGAAATGATTTTTTTGCTAAGTTATGAGGAAACCGCTTTTCTTGAAGAACCAGTGAAGATTGGAACAGCATGTTCATTATTAATGATTATTGAATAGTCATTAACACTATGAATTGTTACAATGATGTTGTACAAGAACATATTGATTTTTTTTGTAGGTCTAGAGTAAATGATCACCTAAAACATTTTTTTTTTTGCACAATGGAGTTTTATTAACAGTTAAACAGTGTCTTTCTTCCAAAGAGTATCCCAAAATACATTCCTCAGTTACTGTATCTTTTACAATTGTAAAGAGAGGATGAATTCTGAAGAGTATGTTTTCAGCTGAGCTTGGAAAGAAGATGGAGATTCAGCGAAGAAGGAAGACAGTAGAAAGACTAATGCAAGAACATTAATGGGAAACATTCATGTACCAAATTGCCCTTATGTATAAGGCAAGAGTGGGGGAAGAGGAAATGGAGAGGGGAAAATACTGGAGAAGCAGGTTGAATTGCCTGGCAATCAAGACAGAGGGAGGCTGGAGTGAATCAATGGAGAATTTTCAAGGAATGGCAGGAAATTTTGGATGGGCTATTGATAGGCAGTCAAGGAGGGAATGAGTTCACGTTCCTAGGTCATGTGAAGTGGGAAAGTAATTTTTCTTCAGACTGTTGCTCAAAAAGACAAGAATTGAGGTTATGATTTGAAAAGCATACAAGGGATTTCAACAGAGTCAGAATAGTGCAGCTTCCCGTCACCCCCGGCATGATCTGGGAGTCACGCTGCAACTTGCAACCTCTGCAACTAGGATTTCATGTACCAGCCAAACTTGTTTGCATCTGCGCATGTTTGCCTAATCAAGACACCCGCAACATCAACTGGAGAGAGGAGCCGTTTCTATAGCATAGCTTCGTTCCAGCTATTTCTCAAAGACTGGCTTAAACTGGAATTACTCATGATAAAGTTATGCATATGCTTAAGCTTAGGAAGCAAGGGGGTTCTAATATGTTTGCATTTACTTTCATTATTGTAGTTGTGCTCTGAATATAAGCAGATAATATAAGTGGGTAGGCCTCTTAACAAAGCATCTTAGTATAAAATCTAAGAAAATACTAAATATATACTCCAGCCATCTTCCGACAGCAGCAACATTTGTGCCACTGGGGAAAGGTGCCTAGGAAAATTCAGGGGTGTGTAGAAACCTTTTTCTTGAGAAAGTCTGAATCTTCTTTTTTCTCCTTTTTTAGCAAACTTTATTAAGGAACGAAAACCCAAACTGCTGATACCACCTGAATCTTCTGGCATTAGCTCGTCAGTCACTGTCATCAAAGGAGGGGTCCTGCTACTTGAATGCATCGCTGAAGGGCTGTGAGTATTGCTTATGCTTAATAGTCTTCTGGAGTGAATTGGGAGAAAAGGAAGCAGCAATGCTATATTACTTCAACCAATGCGTGTTTTTACATCAAATCTTTGCTTTGGGTTCTCTTTAAAGAAAGTTACATTTCTTATAATGTAGCACAAAGCTAGAATGGAAAACTCAGAAGTTGGTTATTAACGTTTAAGTTTTAGGACCATATATTTGAAAAAAAACCCACATTTACCATGAGAATTTAGATACCACCTTTATTATTCTAGACTAAGTTTATCTTCAGATGCTTCAATATGATGACCACTGACAGTTATGCTGCATTTGAACACATTATGAATTGAATAACACCACATTTTACTTGCAAGGTTTGGCAGTATTTCTGTTTTTCTTTCCTATTTGAGCCAGTTCAGATTTTACCTCTTTGTTTGGAAAAAGCTTGGTAATTTAATTAAGTTTCATATTCTCAGAACACCTTCCTTAATACCACTGTAATAGATAATATTTCTACTGTGATGATCCACTAGATCTAACCAAACCAAAGGGTTTGGTTCGATCCAGAATGAAGACAATGTCTTATCTGCAAAATTTGTCTAGAGAGTACCTTCTCTTTATTCTCAATGGCATAGAACAGAAGCAGTATAGAAGAGGGAAGGTTAACTAGATACCACTTTAAGTGCAGCTCTCATCGTGGTGTGATGATTGCTTGTGAATGTCTCTAAAGCCCTACTTCTGCTCCAGGGCAGGAGTAGCCACACAGCAGTGCTATCAACAGTACAGGGTCAAGTTCATCCATGTTCCCCATCCTGAGTAACACTTTATCTTGCGGTTAGCATGCAATATTCTGCCCTAAAAGCGTTGCCATTGGAAAAAGTTCAAAATCCTGCAACGACTGAACCTAGAAGGGAAATGTATTTGCTACTGGTTTATACGTGACAATGTTTGTTGAACAGGGTTTTAAATCGTGCTGTTTTCAACCTAGTTTCAGACTCCGTATCGTTGTTTGTTGACCAGCTAGAAGAGAGATCATCCATATTAGAGTGCATACAATTATTACCCACTACAAACCTCAAAGTCAGGATGATTCTTTCTGAACAGACATGTTCAGGGCACCTTGTTTGTCCGTGCTGACTTGATAGGTAGGGATACATAAATCGTGGCTTTGCCATTTTCATGGAAACTGAGAAAAATGTGGGGTTCTGTGATCACTGTGAAAAATGGCATTTCTCGTGATTTTGTGTGGAATCACTTGTAAAAATATAAGAGTTTACTGGAATACAAAGAAGGCATGGCAATCCCTGCAGCCACAGAGCACATGGTTTGAGAGAGAGCTGAGCTAGAGACCTAGACTCAGTGAAGGCGCCAGTCAGGAAAGCGAAAAGGGTTTCAGTGCCATCTTTTAAGAAGCCAGATGCAGTGCTGCAGACTGGAGATCACGAATGAAAAGAAATCCAAAAAAACTAAATATTTTTCAGCCCAGGATCCTGTAAGGCAGCTTCTTATAGGAATGTTGCATGCAGATGGTGGTAAATTGTTACGTTCATCATGCAACGTAACTGGATGTGTCAAGGAAAAACCGCATTGATCAGCATTTAGAGGCCGAATTCTGTATAAAGTGAAAGGATTCTGCAGAGGCTGAAGGTCAGAGTAAGAAACAAGTGACTATGTCCTCAGTCTTTAAACAAACCACTGAAAGAAGTCTGACAAGAAGAGAGGCTACATTTGCACTAGTGGAGGCATTAAGAGCTGCCGACATACCTCTGGAGAAAATTGATAACCCTAAATTAAGGGACTACTTGAACAAATACGTGCCAAATGGTGGCAGTTTCCCATGTCCATACAAGCTTCACCAACATTATCTACCAGGAGTAATTGCTTCGCAAGATCAGCCTACAAAATCAGCATTGGCAGAATATGAGTCAATCTCGATTGCAGCAGACAAAGCAACAGGTGCCCAGGATAACTATGTTGTGAACATTTTACTTGTACCTGGGAGCTGGCAAGACTGCAACCTGCCTCTTTCTCAAACAGAGCCAGTTCACTTCACATCTGTCAATATTTGCACCATGGCACAAGCTGTAGTAATGGTCACAGTAAACTACAGCTTAGAATTTAACAAGATAGCAGCATTTTTACCTGATAATGCCATGTATATGTGCAAAGCTTGCTCTAATATGCCCCATGGAAAGATGCCCAGTACAATTCATGTTACTTGCAGTGCACACATTCTTTCTTTCGTAAGTGACATCTGGTGCATATATTTTCCTGAAGTTGATAGTCTGGTTTCCTTTTTTTGAAAAACATTCAAATATTGTGCAGGCTGTAAGCTTTGATACAGAGAATGCATTGCCAATCAAAGCTGGGACCTATGTGTAACTGCGTCACTTAGAATCATAGAAAATGAGGGTGGGAAGGGACTTCAGGAGACCATCTAGTCCAACCTCCTGCTCAAAGCAGGATCATCCCAACCAAGGCTTTGCCTAGCCAGGTCTTAAAACCCTCCAAGGATGGAGATTCCACAACCTCTCTGGATGACCTGTTTCAGTACTTTTCTACCCTCCTAGTGGCAAAGTTATCTCATATATAACTGCAACTTCCTTTGCTGCAACTAGAAACCATTGCTCCTTGTTCTGTCATCTGCCACCACTGAGAACAGCCCAGCCCCATCCTCTTTGTAACCCTGCTTCAGGTAGCTGAAGGCTGCTATTAAATCTCCTCTCTTTCTTCTCTTCTCTGGACTAAATAAGGCCAATTCCCTCAGCCTCTCCTCGTAAGTCATGTGCCACAGCCCCCTAAACATTTTTGTTACCCTCTGCTGGACCTTCTCCAATTTGTCCACATCCTTTCTATTGTGCGGGGCCCAAAACTGAACACAGTACTGCAGATGTGGCCTTGCCAGTGCTAAATAGAGGGGAATAATCACTTCCCTTACCAGCTGCCAGCACTCCTACTAATTCAGCCCAGTATGCCATTAGCCTTCTTGACAGCAAAAGCACACTGTTGACTCCTATTCAACTTCTTGTCCATTATCATCACCAGGTCCTTTTCTGCAAAGCTGCTGCCCAGCCAGTCAGCCCCCAGCCTGTACTGGTGCATGGGATTGCTCTGTCCTACGTGCAGGACTTTGCACTTGTCCTTGTTGAGCCTCATGAGATTTCTTTTGTTTCAATCCTCCAATTCGTCTAGATCACTCTGAATACAAGCCCTACCCTCCAGCATATTTACCACTCCTTCCAGTTTGGTGTCATCTGTAAACTTGTTGAGAGTGCAGTCTATGCCGTCTTCCAGGTTGTTGATGAAGATATTGAACAAAACTGAAACACTTCCAGCAGAGCTAGTGGTTACAAGGTGGAATTCATGGTTTAACACACTTTGTTATTGCACAAAGAGTATGAAGTACTACCAGCAACTTGTGTGCGAGGGGTTTGAAATCACGCCTGGCGCACAGTGCATGCTTATACCATACAAACTCTCTTAAGACAGGGTGACAGTAAAGATCAAGTGAAGTTCGCAGCTGAAAATGCACTAGGGTTCATGGAGCTTCTAACATGGTTTGAAAGTTGTCAGGCATTGATCCACCAAGCACACAAGCTGATGGATTTGATAAGTTGGCTCACGGCAACTTTTAAACTGTCAGTGTGAAAACCAGCAGAGACAAGTGCCATTCCAGGCCATAGCTGCAAAGCTGAATCAGTACTACAAGCATGATTAGTCACTACCACCTTGGTTTAAGCTACCAGCTGCCTCCTTTTTTTTAGTTCTGTTCACATTTTTTACCCCAGTCAGGTGTCTTTTCTGAGTTTTGATCCTCAGCAACTAAAATCAGTCCCTAGATAGCAGAGAGAGCATGACAAGGGATGTTCTGCTTACATGGACTTTGTCAGAGTGTCAGATGCCTTTGACTGTGGCTACGTTTTGGGAGTCTGTTTCTGATCGGTTTCCACATCTTCATAACTTGGCAAAATCCTGCCCTACCATTCCAACCAATTTGGTGGATCCAGAAAGCATAATCTCAGTGTATGGACATGTGGTCATACTACAGAGACAGAGAGGAGGTCAGCTGCAACTGCTGGTGGATGCTGAATGCTATCATTTAACAACTGACATGAATTGTTTCTATTAAGGTTAGCATTATTTATTATTGTTCAACTTTTTGTCAAACACATAATAAATTGTGATGATATTAGTTACAATTTATATTGTATACATTTATATTCATAATATATTTCAATTGAGATTTAAATTCAATACTTAGATTTATAATCATGTGGTCATTTATTTGATATTTTCATGAACTTTGCTATTTAATTGTGCTGCAGTTTTTGCCTCTCGGCCAATCAGTGGCAAAAGGGAGCTCGCCGCAAAGAGGCCGTGTAACAGGCTCCACGTGTCACAAGTGGCCCATGAAAATCCTTTTGTCTTGCTGCAATTTAGGTAGGCCCCTACTGATAGGGCATCAGTCACTTTTGAACTGGCAAGATTGTGCCTCTGCAGTTGGTTGCCATTTCTGTAAAGCAAGTGAATGACTTCTCTGTTGGATTCATGCCAAGTAACCATAATGGATTCTTATTCTTATTCTCTTTTGCAGTACGTCTTGTCTAAATGGCCAAATATGCCTGACAGCCATAAAAATCCAGCAGATTTACTTTTATATAAAAGTGTAAATTTTTAGGTTCGGGAAAGCAAGGAAATTATGACATGCCTGAAGCAAGAATAAATAAGGATTTATTCTTTTTATTTCCCTGTAGGACTTTTCTAATGAGCTATAATTAGAGCAGGTAAAAAAAATAGTAGTAGTAAATTTAATGAAACTAATTAAATTCACATTTTCAATTAATTTTGCCATGATATTTTTCAGTTTCATTTTCCAATAAAGCATTCAAATGAATTTTTTTGCAAGGGAAAAAAAAGCCCTGTTTTGCAGGGTAAAAAAAGTACTTATGCTTCTTTTATTTTGTATTTTTTTACACTGAAAAGAAATGGAAGTTGGATTTAAAAGAGAGACAAAAAGAGAGTACTTTCACTCACCAAAACCCCCATATATTTGTAATAATTTTAAAACAAAAGAAACATCCAATGAATTTGAGGAAAAAATATTTTTATTAATTTAATCAGCTCTAATTCTGTTCCTACCATACTTCCGTTTTATGAAATGGTTCAATGTACCCAGTCTACTTCTTTGTAAAAATGTAATTATCAAGCACGTACGGCTCAGGACAGTCAACGGCAAACTAAAGCAACAAAGACCATCCCTACCTTGTCTTTTTATGAACATTTTACCCATCTCTAAACTATTTAAAGCAGTCTTCCTGGTATGTCACAAAGATCTAAACTGGTCTCAGCAGCATTAATGAAACGCAAGGAGTTTAAATGTGTCATTGCTTCTGTACAATATCAGCAAAGGGAAGTCTTACAGGCAATATGACAGTCATTGTTATGTATGCTGCTTATAGAAAACCATAGTTTCTTGGTACCTGGGGCTTTGAGTAACTTGTGCCTGGGCATTTTGCCATCTTAACAGATGGACATGAGAGTAAGCAGATATGATGCTGTGTATGTGCATCATGTCTGGTGCTGGGGTCAGGGAACCCTGCTGGGACTGTTCAGACAACAGTCGGTCCTGAGTTTCTGTGTCTCTGGTTCCAAGTAGACTGTTAACTTACTAATATCATAAAGTGCTTTTTTCAGGCATGTCCAGCATACGATTAGAAATTAGTCTGATCAGGCAGGGTTCTGGGCAAAGTCATTTTAATGAAGCCATTTCCCTTTGACTGTCTGCAAGGGCCCTTATGGAATAGGACAAACAAGCTTCAGTCCCTCTGCTACGGTTCATGCCAATATATTTACAAGGTATGCAAACGTGTGTCATAACCTGCTGTTGGCAGTGGAGGATTCATTGAACATGGGTTCCTTTTAACCAAGAGACGGTACAAGCCATGAACAATATAAAAGCTCCAGGCTGGGTGTTTGTATGGGGAAAATGTGCAAGCTGAGCACACAAAGGGGCATGTGAGGGAATTCTGCAAACACATTCTCACAAAGGGTTATGCATAAACCCTCATTATTTGTTATGCTGCCCATGGAGGGTTAAGATACAGCTTCAGCCATCCCCACTCTCCCATATGCATCAGACTAAAAAAACCCACCCTAAACTAAAATAACCCCTCCGCATCCTTTTTCTTTCTTTTCCCCATAGCCCAACTCCTCATCTAACCTGGACCAGGGTCGGTAGAGACATGCCCGAGGACAGGGCAGCTATGGAAAATTACGGAAAGGTTTTGAAGATCGGAGAAGTGTCCGCAGCCGATGAAGGAACTTACCTGTGCATGGCAAGCAATTCTGTGGGGAGAGTGAAACATGAGTTCCATGTCCATGTGGAAGGTGCTCCATATATTTTTAAGTAGTTTTATATGTTGAACCAAATGGGCAGTCGCGAGGTAACAAGTTAGAATCGCAGCTGGTAGAAAGTTGCATCATTGCATTTAAGTTGGTGGTACTGCATGAATTAATACAGCTGAGGAATGAGCCTCAACTCTCAAGAAGCTTGTTCCGTGTCGCATGGAAGTGAATGAAAACTGATGTTTTCTTCAACCATTAATATTTCGGTTTCCCATACTATGCTCTTAGTAAATTCAGACATATGGCTATAACTATTAAGATCTGTTTTAGTCGAAACATGAATCCCATCACCTGTGTTATATTGGATGTCAGGTTAGATGATGTAATTGCATCATCTGGCCATAACATCTGTAAAACCAGGGTTTGTTTGCTTTTTAAATTGATGTGAAATAGGGTAGCTTCGGTCCAGATCTAGACACCATTTAAGCAGACTGCTCTCACTCCATTGAATAAGTTGCAAAAACAATCTGTATTTAGAGGGAGAATTTGAAGGCATCTTACAAAAACAAGATAAATTAAGACTAACAGATTATAAGGCTTCACAGAAACATTGTTACTGATGGTTAATCTCCCTCATATTAATCACATTTATCACCAATTAAGAAATGTGAATAATTTCATATTCTTTCCCTCTGGCCTGACACTTGCCTCATTTCCCTCCCGTTTGCTCAAAATGGCTCTGCCAGAAAATTATCTGTATTTCCTACCCCTGTAACTCCTCAATCGTTTCTTTGACTCCTTGCACATCATGCTTAATACTCCTCAGCCTCAGGACTCTGCTTCTGCTTATATCTCTCCTGCCTTAACTACACTCCCACACTCATCTTTTATGTTGCTGATCTGGCTTATCTCTATGCCCACTCGACATCCTCCCACTGAGAACCCAGAGTCGACTTTCACACCCTCCTACGTGCCTGAGACACCTTCTCCCCCACTAAGTGTGCACTCTGTTCACACCAGCCTTGAAGTTTGCTAGTGGACTTTCTTTTGTTCATCTCTGTAGGCTGTAAACTCCTTAGGGCAGGGATACTGCCAACACTTAAAGAACAATTAATAATAATAGTAGTATCTGCCTTTGCTATTGACACATTAAGAATAACAAGAATAACAACAGTTATGAACACTGATAATGATACCACTGCTACTACTAATGATGTTGTTGTTATATGCTGCAATAGTCTCCAGACACACAAATGAAGAGTCAGAGAGGCCCCCGGCAAGGTGTGCGAGGGAAGGATCAATAGGATCTGCTGTGGGATCTCCATAGTCATGCTTTCTACTATGCCACATATGCATGGCAGGGGGTGTGATTGTGGGATCCAGTATTGGATCCCATTGTACCTTACTGCTGGTTCAATGGGAGCCCAGGATCACAATCCCCCTGCGCTAGCAGGTAGCAAACTTCTGCAGCTGGGAGCCCTGTCACCTGCTGGAGCCTCCAGCCACGAGGGCACATGCTGCACCCCGGGGGCTAGGAACTGCATCAATGTGGCCACCCTAGCCACACATTTGGTTAATGGTGAGATAGGAACCAACCACAAAGTTACGACACATCTTTTGTGGCTTATTCCTTGTTTGATGACTCCATTAATTGCATTAACGCTTGGCCGGGTAACAACTTAAGACATGATTAACTGGTTAACGTGTGCCGGGGCCTCTGTGTTTACCCAGCAACAGAAAAGCAATGCCACACAGTGGTTTAGAGGAGCTGAAATGACAAATAGGTGCTCCTCTTTCAGAGTTTATAGGGCAGTTCAATGGGTTGCCTCAGGAACAAAACAGGTACCGGGCTAAGATTTGCAGCGTTCCTCGTCAGAGTGGTGCATCTCAGCCCCCTTTCTGGAGGAGGTTACCTCTCCTCTGGGCCCTGGAAAGCTGTAAAAGGGGGGGCACTCCAAGTTCTTCCTGCCCCGACCCGCCAACAGCCCAGGAGGGAGCAGTAGCAGCTTGATGCCTTATGCTTTTATAGCCTTGTCTCCTGTGCAAGCTGTAGTGATGCAGACAATACAGAAAAATGTGGTGACTCCTTATTCCCAGGTGAAGAGTCGTAATTGGGCTCACACTAGGGCAGAATAAAACCTTCAGAGGTGTCTCTTGGTAATGCTGCTCTTTCAACTCTGCTCACATAGCTGCTCGTTTGGTTTGGACACCCAAAAAAAACAAACAAAAAAACCCAACAAAAAAAAGGCTTCTGAATGAGGATGTAGAAACCTAATTGAAAGACTTGGCAACAACATTTTTCACTTGCATCAAGGAAAAAAATAAGTAAATAAAAACCTCCACTCTGCAGAGAGAAATGTGCTCATACAGTATTAAACCATTCACATCTGCCAACTGCTTGATTTTAATCTCTGCCGCCCCATCTCTTCTCGCTCCTCACAGGAAGGAATAACTGAAAGGAATAACGCCTTGCAAACGCCTACCCTGCATTCAGTTGTTAACACACAGAACAGCCGTTTGTCACATTATTTGACCATTAAACACAATCCTGTTTTGTGTACGGGCTGCTTTTCCCAAGTGTGCGCGTTGTGTCAGAGGGGAGATGGAGGAGGGGGAGTAGGCCACCAGGTTGCGGGGAGTGTTCGACTGCTACTGTATGGGAAGTTGCTGACTCCCAGAAATCATTCCAGATGGTTTGGAACATCTCTACTGTAGCTGAATATTTTAACAATCTGCCCATGGTTTTTTCAGCTTTAAAAATTGCAGCTTTCAAAGGAATTGCAGGAGCAGCAAAAAGTAACGTACCAGAGAAATTACGTTAATTAAGCAGTTGAGAAGGTTGACCCCCAGATTTTTACAGGGACCAAAGCTTCCTGATTAATGATCAATTCTGTTAATTAAAAAAGCAATTCTCCGCCCTCCCAAAACCCCCACCATACCCCCCCCTCAATAAAACCCCTAATAATCACCATATTGTATTAGAAATGCTTTTATGTGAGCTTTTAAACCCTTTTCTCTATAATGTAGGTTGTTGTCACTAATAGGAATTCCATCTTTTAAGAGTCTCCTCACATGTGGCATATTGGCCTAAAATTGAGGTCAAATACTATCCTTTTATTTGGGTTTTGAATGATGTCACTAACAATCACAGCAAAACATAGATTCATAGATTCATAGACGTTAGGGTCAGAATGGGCCTCAGTAGGTCATCAAGTCCAGCCCCCTGCCCTGGGCAGGAAAGAGCGCTGGGGTCAGTCTCCTCTTGAACACCCCCAAGGTAGGGGGGAGCACCACCTCTCTTGGAAGCCCATTCCCTTCTGGCAGAGCCAGAAAAGGATCTTGGAGTCATCATTGACTCCAAAATGAA